TCGAGTAAAAGCTGCAGTCAATGCATGCACGGCATCACGATGTATGGCTGGACCCGCGCGACGCCCTGGGTCGTTGAACGTGGCGCAATCGGTCGCCGCTCGTCGTCGCAAGTCGGAGCTCAAATGGCGAAACAACGATAAAAGTGTGCTGTTCGTGGCAGGGGAAGGTCGGGAAAGCTTGATCGCTCGTGGAAACTAGACGTCGCAACAGACTCTCTGATGGACAGTGTGTGCACGTCAAGGAGGGGCAGCACTTCCTGGCGCCGAAAGAACGCTTCGCGCACAGATTCCGTACCATTCTACCGTTTGTCGCCGACGTCGTTATGGCCAACGGCATGATGATCAAGTCGCGTTCACTATTTGGGAGGAGTAGGAACCAACAAAGCCATCGCGATGGAGGTGTCTCTATCGTGCAATGCAACGGCTGCGTGGTCTTTGAAGCAGACACTATTCCGCCTGCTGAATGCACCATGCATGTCGAGGGCATCTTTCTTGTGATCTGCGGTCGTGCAGGTGGTCGGCGGGGCACTTGTGTTAACAGGCATGGTTGGCCATCGGCAGCATCGCGGTGGCCACCACATTCACGTGCATGAAAGACGCAAGTGCAAGTCGTGTGGGATCAAGCATTGGTTTAGGAAACGGATTCTACGTTGGCGTTCATGGCGACCGAGATGATGTCGAAGTCGCTGCGGGAAATCTCAAATAGCCCTCGCCGAAAGATCATGCCCCAGTTCTTGGCATGCTTCGTGAACGACAGCTTGGACAGCATGGGGTGAATGGGGGCAGCCTCGACTTGAGTGTCATATGCAACATTGATGCGAAATGGGTGAAATGCAGGCGTCATTTCGACTCGATACGGTTCGTCGGCTTGGACGATCCCGATGGCTGTAAACGACTTGAGTGGTGCGCCACCGTCCCGCTCCGTCTTCGGCGAGTAGTAGATTAAGACGTCGCCGGGGGACATGCGCCGCAACGGGGCGCATTTTCCATGGCACACTTGCGCAAACCCGCCGGTAACTCCTCGCTGCACGTGGTTTCGTGACACGACGCCGACCCAGTACCGCGTAGGCATGGCGTCTTGTGGGCCCTGGTCAATTGGACAATGACGTCCAAGTGGACGGCGTCATGTGCGCCGACCGCCACGGAGCGCGACGTGTTTACCGCATGCTGTGCCATTGTAAACTGTTCCACATGCTTCTGCCCAGTCGCCAAGAAGCGCGCCGATGTGCAGCGACAATTGTGTGGCGCGCTCGAATTTATGCCAAAAATGCGCGAAATATTCCCGAAAATACAACATTTTATTGCTGAATTCAGTGAAAAAGGGCCAATAGAAACGTCCGAATTCTCCCAACACCATGATGGTGACCGTCCTGCTGCATGGTGAGGACGAGTCCCGATGAACGTGCCTACAGCAGCTTTTCGCGCCGCGCGCGGTAGGAGAAATGCTGCATGCAGGCTGGTTCGGCCGCTGAACCATGTCGACTTCGCGGCTGCAGATCGTGCGTCGTTCAACAGCTCAATTGTGGTCACAAAAGGACAGGAGCAGTGGGAAACCTGCAAGTGCGACCAACCGTCGAGCTAGCAACCACAGTCCAGATCACGACACCTTTGAAATGCTCCACGGCTGCTCACCGGCCGCTTCGTGAAGCATAGCGTTCAAATGAAATCCCATCGTGCTTGACGACGGGGATACGGCAGAATGGGTGGTGTCCAAGGGAATTTGTCGAGAGCCATGGCACGCCCACCGGTGCGTCGACTGGCAACCAAGATTGCGCGCAGGGCCCGTTCAGGCCATAAAAGGCCGACATCATGGGGAACAACGGACGTACGAATTACGCAATGTCAAATCCTGTCGGGTTCGATAGCAGGAGCATCTGCAGCGCCTCCACCAGGAGGTCCTTTCGCGGGTACAGCGGCAAGTCAATGCGATTAAAGCACGCGTGGACGGTGGGGTACGCGCCAGGGATATATGTCACGCCCTTCAGGCTAAAGCGGCAGATGCGGCCGTCGTGGCTCGTCAACCCGCGGAATCCTTGGACAGGAACCCGACTTGATCCAGTCGTGTACTGGAGTAGGGTCGCGCGCTCAGCAGGTGTCATGGCGGCCACGATGTCCCAGAACCACTACGATCAGGGAAAAGCTTGCACAATGGCGTGCATAACCAGACTTGTCCCTACCTCTACGAGGGGGGAGCCGGCGACGTTGGTCGAGCACTCTGTATGGGCTTTCCAATCCTGAACATCGATGTCTGCCAGGCCACAGAGCAGCAGCTCAAGCTGCATGAAGGTAAGCGACATGTCAAGATCGAAGTTGTCGCACCTCTTTGTGGTCGAACGGGACGAGCAACTCGGGCGGCACGATGTCGTATACGCCTTGGACTAGCTCCAACAGGTAGCGCTCAAAACGTTGGTACAGCAAGTATCGCAGCTACAAGTCGTGCCATTTAGCGAGCAAGGCGCTGGCGAGAGGACGGACCATTAAGTCGACGTAGTCGGCTTTGTTGGCATCGGTGACGTCGATGCACCTGCCACGGGGAATCAAATCGACTTCGTCCACGCGGTCGCCCCGTCGTTCGGTGATCGAAAACGTCAACGCGAGCGCGTCAATGTCATCGTGCTCGAGAATGTACCGCAGGCTGCAGACGAAAAGGACATGAAATGCGGGTTGCTCTGTGAGTTTTTCGACCATGGCGCACCTGCTGTACACACTGGGGTCCAACACCTCCACGTCCTCCAGGGTCAGCGGGACGCCCAAAATGGCTACAATCCATGGAAATTGCGTTGTTTGACGCGCGTCGGCGGATACAACGACGAACCTTTGAACACGGCAGGGCTGAACGGAAGCGGGAGCATTTGGCCATCGAGCAGCGCTCGCCCGACGAACCGGCCGACAGCCTTGAATGCGTCGACGGCGCTGACATGGCTCAGTTTCGATTGCCTGGCGAGAATCCATGATATAATCGCGGCCACGTCCATGGCACGTACAAGATATCGTGGGTGGCATTCGGGTTTGGAATGTACATGTGGCTGTCTTTGCTGGCCAGGACAAAGAGGCCCGTCCCAGGGTCCATGAGAGCTTGCGCGACCACGAGGTACCTTGGACGGAAAGTCAGTTGTCCACATGCATCGCTGACGCTCGTGTCAGGAGCCAGCGCTTGCCGTCGAGTAGGTGCTCGCATTGTTACCATTCACGGAGAACGGCGCCGGCGTCGTGCCCGCTTTCACCTGTAAAGTGGATGCGGAGGATAGCACACAAGGACGTGCTGTGCATATGGTTCAGCCGTCGGACAGCTTCCTCCAGCACCGCTGACCGCGGCGTGCGGAACAGAGAATGCCTGTCAAACCGGCCAAGGTCGTCACGTTGTATGGCATCCCGACAAAGTCGCTGGAGCACGTACTTGACTTCGTACGGAACGACGAGCGACGCGGCTTGTTCCAGAAACCAGGCATACTTGCATGTAAACTTCATCTCGGACACGCTCAGCAGCGCTCGCCACAGCGGGTCCGCCAGCTTTGTCCCCATCACCGTGTAGTTGCCATCCACGAGCTCGAGTGGAGTCCACGCAATCTTTTGGTCATCCGTGTCTCGTGGAGGCGAGCTGGCGTCGCCCACGTTACTCGATACGATGGCATGCAGCTCAAAGTCGACCCTTGTGTCCGCGACGTCGATCTCAAAGCATCCCTTGACACTGTCGGGGGGATTCTACAGCATGTTCATGTCAGTTGTCGTAAAAGCTACGCCGAGGACGGTGGTCCAAGGCGCAGGAAACGTGCAGTGGGGTCCGCTCGATCGTAGCCAGCCGATGCATTCCACCGACGAAGCGTAGAATGTATACAGGGATGCCACCACGGCATGGACCCGCTTCGGAAGCGATGCCAACTGACGTACGAGCTGAATGACGTAGGCAACGGAAAAATCGTCATGGTCGGTAAACTGACGCACCCACACAACTTGATAGTTGCGAGGGTCCATCTTACGGCGCCACTGCCGTCGCATCCTAGTAGGAATGAGTACACACCGCTTCGATGGAAAGCGGGGTAGGACAGTCGACTACCGAGCACTTCGCTGGTGATGGTTCAAGTCCTCTGGGAGGAGTGCGTGATGCAGTAGAGATGTCCAGTGCAGGATGCGCGATGCGGTCATTCTTTTCAGCGACGAGACTTTCCCACTCGTCGACGAGATCGTGGCTCTTTGCATCGACGACTTCACCCCTCGAACCGATGTTATTGGCGACGCCCAAGCCGCATGCAAGCTAGAGGACAGCGCCGAGTACTTGAACAACGCGCTTCCGACGTAGCTGCTGTTCGTCCCCAGGTGGCTTTGCACAACGTCGTGTTGAAATGGCTCGATCAACTTGACCCCTAGTCCAGTGGACGAAATTGTCAAGCGCAATATTGTTTGATGTGATTCATCGGCATCAAGAGAGATAGAACGACTCACCATGCTTTGTGTGGCACAGGGAGCATGCGGGCTGCGGCACCACGTTCAGAAATCCACATACAGAGCACTCCCACCGCTCAACCTCGCGCAACCTTCACACAAATACTTCGGTGAATTCGAGCTCCAGAACACACAAAACACCACGGCATTGGCGGCATTGGCACGTATCCGAGCCCGAACGTACAATTCTTCGATGTCGTGGCGCTGTAGCGTGTGCTCCAAGTGGTGAAGATTGTCTTCTGCAAGAAACGCCTCGACCAGCGCCGTGTCGATGTGCCACGTGTTGCGAGTCATGCGACTGCACATGCACAGCAAGACGATGCCCACGCCGGCGGCAATACCGACGTACACGGGGATGATGTCGTCCATCGGGTCCTGGCGGGCGGCTTCTCGACGTGTCAATGGAGCGCGCGATTTTTGTGTCAACTGCATCGAATGGACATACAGCCATTGGCCAATCAGATAGCGGCATTCAGTAATCGGCAATATGATTGGTGGATTTCCAGGTCGTTACCTCGACCTCGCAGAAGGAGGGCGACCGATGGATGATACGACTGCACGATTCTTTGAAGTGCGGCATGTAATCGAGTCGTGTAGAGGAATGTGCGCTCGAGTCGTCACAGCACAATTGACTGGAACCCCCACGTCGTAAATGGATGGGATGGCGGCTGATCGGCGTGAAAATGTTGAAGGAGGGTCACGGTAGACCTCTGAAAAGGAATAATATTCCATTCTGGAGGTAACCAATTGAAATGACCGGTTTCAAAATTGCGCGCGCACTCGCAGTATGGGCGGCGGCGGAAAGGACATCCTGAGCGACGATGACAAGGCAATCCTTCGCTTTGCGTGCTGCACGTACATGCTCAAGCAGCATGCACAAAGTGACGGTCCATCGCCGTGTGTGGAACTTCCGCGGAAAGTAATGCACCATGATGAATCGTCGACATGCCAGGCTATGCTGCTTGTCGATCGCCATCAGCAAGCAGCTTCCCATTCCCAAGCCACGGCAACGCTTGAGCGACCCAATGTAGTTCATGGCGTTGCTTACTCTTCAGTCAACAATACTCTTCTCGACATCGCCGCCGAGTTTCTGTACTCTGACACGTCGACGACGGCCTTCGACGCAGCAAGTATATTCTGTCATGATAAACGTCGACAATCGTCTCAACAGGTTCCTTCAGGAATACTGCAAATGGCATTTGTGCCAGCTGATCAAGGCTTGCGCCCAACCCCTTCTTGCGAGAGAATTGTTTTGTTTTGGAGCGAATTTCTGCTTGCAGGTCTCCGTGGAGAATACGAGACAACGGCGAACTGGACGCAGGGCTGGCCGATCGTCATTGAATGTTTAGACACTCTCGTGTTGAACTACGCGATATCACACCGCCAACTCCCCTCAACCCGACGGCGCGTGTCCTTCATACTCAACAAGCTTTCCGAAGCGTGCGTGTCGTCTCGTTCCATCGGATTGATCGTACTCGAGTGGGTGATGGAGCTAGCTGCGCACTTGAATCTCAAATGATGCTGCCATGAATGCTTCAGATGCTCAAGATGCGTGTCGTGGAGGTCGTCGTGTGGACATCGCACCTGGAAAGTACCCTTCCGATGATATTAACAAGGACAAAATACTGAAGCGCGTACTAGATCGCATATTCATTGGGGTCGTGGCCGTCATCAAAGCGTTTGCCCGACACGTGTCCCGGTGCTGGGCGAATCTCCCGCAGCGATGTAGTTTGTTGATACGGCTGCCGCGGTGGGTTTTGCGCTGGCGGCGCGCGGTAGTTTTGGTCGCTGTAGTACTCGCTGGTCCATTCGCGCTGCCCTTGCTTCATCGACTAGGGCAACAGAGTCAATTTCCGAGCTCCTGTCGCATGATGCGAGCCGTACCGGTGGCAACGAATCGAACGCGTGCATTTGCAAATGCGGTGGGGTAAACTCGTCCGCGGCAACGCCGCTTTCGTCCTTTTGGTTCTTGATCTGCCGCGTTTTCCAAAAAATGTAGAGCTGGCGGACCAGCAAGCACAGCAACACGACGAGTTGGAGCGCCAGAATCACATACGACACAACGTTTTGCACCGCCCACGGCAGATTTTCCGTCGCCGCCGTCAGCAAGAAGAAACTCAGCCCAAACACAACAACCTTGAGGATCACAATCATGACGGACGTGTTCTGGACAAACTTGGCGCTGTGGGGCTTGCGCACTTCGAGAAGCAAAAAGAACGCCACGTGCATCGAAATGAGCAAAATCAACTGGGTTTTGCCTGAAGAAAACACGAGTTGTAGTGGCCAAAAGAGCGATGGAGGTCGTACCTGTTATGGCGAACGTCCCGGTGACCATGCCCGACAAGAGCGCAAGACTCATCTTGGCCACGAAAAAGTACCGGTTTTCAAACGTGTACTGGTCGTACAACGTCCCAAACCGCTTGTGGATGGACTTGTCAAAATGCGCCGCCGTCCCAATGTCCTGGATTTCCTCTTTGTTCTTGCGCACAATGTGGAGGCTGTACACGATGATTCCAATCGCCAAAATCACAAGGGTGGCAATCGCGACAAAGAGCTCGGCCGTCACAGTCGCGCCACGCGAATTTTTCAGCGTCAGGCAGACCTGAAACATGCACACCATACCGAGGGCGTACTGCGAGATGACAGCTACGAGTACAAGTGCCCCAATCTAATCAAACAGCATTGTAACCGCGTCAACGACGAAGCTTCCAGGATGTACCGCGCGGTCGAGGCAGTCCTGTCGGAACGATGCCTTGTCTTTCACACAACTCAAGTTGTTCCCAACGAGCACGACCAGAATGAGAAGGATGCCGACGCCACCCAACACGGACGCGACACCCGCCAACGTGACATACATGAGCATATGCGGCTTAATTCCCAAGCGGCTTGTGTACTCGAACATGCCGCCTTTGTCCTGTTCGCGGGGACCACGATATTCTTCCACGAGCTTGCGCTTCCCCGATTTGTCATCGTCGCCAAACGAAAACCAAGTAAACGTACTGAACGACATTTGGGTAGCAACAAGACGCAACGTGTTCGACGCTCCTATCCATGACGTCATGATGGCAAGTTCGCACATACGTGTCGACATGCTGCGCAGGGTACCTGGAAGGCTGAGCGCCCCCGTGCACACGGCAAACTGCGCAATATCCAACGTCGTGCCGGCAGTACTGGCACTCCCGGCGGTAGACACCCCGGCCGCGGCGGCGGATGCCGACGAACTCACGACCCCCACCGACGAAGCAATTACCATGGTCGTTGTCGCCGCAATCGTTGTGTATGTAATGGACGTGCTCACGCTGGACGTGACTTGGCCGGCGTAGTCGAGGTTGGTCTTCTTGGACCCATCGGACCACACGTCGTTGGCCGACGAGCCGGACGTGCCACCGTTGTTGGGCGTGGTGCCGTTGGTTGCCGTCGAATTGTCAGTTGACACGATGTTCGCCGCAGGACATTGGCACATGGAGTATTTTTCACAAGAGAACGACGGATTGAATGAAGAGGTCGGGATCGCGCTGAGGGACGGAGCGAGGGTGGCGGCAGTCGATCCGAACCAGTCGCTAAAGGTCAAGTCTTTGTAGATGGAACTGTCAATGCCCAACGGATCCGAGTAGTCCCACTTCTTGTCGACGCAAGCGGGAATGTAGCAGCTCGAGAAGCACGCGGTCGAGCCAGCGGTCGAGGAGTTGGTCAAGGAGAGCGTACCACGATAGACCTTACACTCTTGGTCAAGGACGTGCGAAACATTCAGGGCCACCCCACCACACGTGATTCCTTTCTTTGCCCACAGACCGTAGAAGGTTTCGTCGCACACAATCGTTCCAAACGTGGTCGATGTCGTAGAACTTGCCACGGTGGTGCTGGGGACTTTGGACGAAGTGGCATTCTCCGTCGTGGCAGGAGATGGAGTTGTCTTCCCGCTCAAGGTCGAAGCCGTCGTGGTCGGAGCGACTGTCGTTGTGGGTAGCGCGCTACTATCTTTAAGAAAACGGCTAGCGGACACTTCTTTAGGGGTCGTCGCTGGCGCAGCAGTTGTCAGTGCAACCGTCGTTGGTACCGCGACCGTCGTGATGGCGATTGTAGTTGGAGGCGCGAGAGTGGTTTTGTCAGGCTTCAACGTGGACGGCAATGCGGTTGTCGATCCTCCTGGTACCGACGTGGTTGGTGCGGGAGATGTCACCACGACATTGGTGGCGTTGGTGGTATTTCCACCAGGCGTCGTGACCGGCGACGTCGTCGTGACCACTGGAGCTTGAGTGGGATTCGCAACGTTCGCCACGTTCAAAGACAGGCGGCATGTTTGCGCTGCGTCACTTGCATGTAGCGACGCAAGAAACACGAGCGCAGGAAGCACCACTCGCATGATGAGACCGAGTCGTGCACGATGCTTGTCGAATGCGCGCAACATGTGTCGGCCGTGTAGGTGGAGGGCATCCGGATACCGTCGCCGACCGAATATATAACGTCAAGCGTTTAACCATTCGACGCCTCTCGAACGCATGCGATTGGCCAGTCGAAACACGGTAAAGGTTTCTTTCAGGGAAACATCCGGATTTGTTGGGAAAACAGTATATGTAATGCAGGGCATTGTACTCCCTGGGTATACGGACTGCAATGTTGGCTTGATTCCATTTTTGCCCAAAATATCACAAATACTGATATTAAAGTTGTTCAAGTCAGGGAAGTCCAATAACCAGTTCCAATCTCTTGCGCAATTATCGCAATGGCGTGTGGCAAGGCACGAGATGCGGTCGTCAACTTCGAACTGAAAAATCGGTCACTCAGCTTTCGAAACGTATGCTTGTTGATATCGGAACTTAAATCCCTGTGCTAAGTTCATGAGCTCTCGACGACACAACCGCGGCATGTTATGATGCATGTTTTGACGCGACTTGGGTGCAATGTCAACGACAATATCGGCTTTTTGTCCAATCCAAAACGATTCACCTCGCTTGACCGCATTTGATTGGATAATATACTTCAATAAATGTCAATGAATTCGCACATGCAGCAACGAGTTGCATACTAGTAGGCGAGTAGACAACAGCGCATTCGTCTGGCACACGGGACCGCGCGCGGACGGCGAGGTAGTTGCCTTGGGCATGCGCCATGCCTCAGATCGATAAAGGTCTGATGCGTCCATGGCAAATGTCACAGAGCCTGGGTAGATGAGACACACGCGGTGGGACGCCCGTCGGGTGTAAAGTTTCCTTGGTCAACACGGTCGATTCCACTGCGAATTATCCGACACCTTTACAATCATAGCGCATGCACGTGGCAAAATATGGAGCGATAGCATGGTGGACTAACGATAAAAGCGCCACGCCGAGGGTTTTTGTGACGTTTTCGGCATAAGTGTGGATTCCGACCACTTCGTCAGCATGCTAAGCGAACCAGTGGCCCACACTCTCTTCCAAAACGGTGGTATCGCATCCTCAACGCAGCAACATGGCGGGATCTTGCCATTGTTGTCACCGGCCGCCTTGATCACGTCTTGGCATGGCTCCCCAAGCGAAGCCAAACCAATCTGCCGAGAACCCCGAAACCCCCGGCGCGCTGTAAGTAGTGTTACTATTAGTATATTGCAGGACTTACTAACGGAACTCGAATTTGCCAACTTGGTGGGATGAACCCAGGACGAGTCGACGCCATCATTGAGCGGCTGTTGAACGTGCGCCACTGCCGTACTGGCCCCGATGCACCACTGAATGCAGACGACTTGTACGCCGTGTCGCAAGCTGCTCGAGACATCTTTGCTTCACAACCCATGCTCATCGAGATCGAGGCGCCGGTCAAGATTTGTGGAGACATCCACGGCCAGTATCTGGACCTGCTCCGCATATTCGACCACTGCGGGTACCCTCCCGACTCGAACTACCTCTTTCTGGGGGACTATGTAGACCGCGGACGACAGTCCCTCGAGACCATCGCGCTCTTGTTTGCGTATAAAGTGCGGTACCCGCTCAACGTGTTCCTCCTCCGCGGCAACCATGAATCTGAAGATATCAACGAACGGTACGGGTTCTTCGAAGAGTGCATTCGCCGCTTCGACGTCAAGATGTACAAGCATTTCTCCGATACATTCGCGTGGCTCCCGGTCGCAGGCGTCGTGGCCGACCGCATCTTGTGCATGCACGGCGGGTTGTCGCCTTCGTTGGACCACCTCCACCAGATCAAGAGCCTCCCACGGCCGCTGTCCAGAGTCGACCAATCTGGAATCATGTGCGACTTGCTGTGGAGCGACCCCGACTCGTCGGTCCGTGGCTACGGCGACAACGATCGCGGGGTATCCCACGTATTTGGCCCAGATGTCGTCGAGAGCTTTGTGAAGCGCCACGACCTTGATCTCATCTGCCGCGCCCACCAAGTGGTCGAAGATGGCTACGAATTCTTTGCCAATCGCCAGCTCCTCACGCTGTTTAGCGCCCCCGGATACTGCGGTGAGTTTGACAACAAGGCAGGCGTCCTCTCGGTCGACCCTTCCCTCGTCCTGACCATCCAAATCATCGATCCACTCTTGGACAACAAGAAGCGGCGCTTCCAGCCCAACGGACAGTTTAGCACTAGTAATAGCAGTAGGATTGACGGCGTGTCGCCGCACAAGCGTCAAGCTAGTGGCTCCTCATACGTTTACGGCAAAAATTGAGTTCATTTACGTACTTTGCGAGGGGCACCACAGCAAGTCGTCTAAGCAAGCTCTGATCGAGCCAAGAATGACTGCCCTTCCAGCGGACAAGGGTGGTCTCTATGACTGCACCCTCGTGCAGGTCTGTGTTGGCATGGGAAGAGCTAGCTTCATGAAGGATGCAGCACATGGAGTTCGCCATGTTCGGCCTCGCGTTCCTTCCTCGAGCTGGCATGGGCTCGGACGAACGAGCGAGCCGCACGTCGTTGTCCGTGGGGCAAATTGAACCGCGCTATATTTCTCCGACGCAGCAATTCAACGGCATCTACGTAGTCTTTCAAAAGTGCACGATGCCATCAGTGGCGCATTTTCCAACTCGCGATGTGTGATTTGTCCACATTGCACACAGTGTGAAGCGATGGCTCAGGAGTGGTGATGGATGCGTGGCCATGTGATGAATATGCACGCTCTGCAGGAAGGCCGACTAATCTGGCTTACGGGGGTGGCGGTGGCAGACACGGTCTCAGCCGGCATCCGCTTCATCGTCGCCTCGTACGTCGCGGTCGACGTCACCGGCAAGGGCAACGAAGGCACCATAAACCCCTCACCTCGACCGTCAAGTACATGTTTGAGCAGCTCGCGAACATCATTTACAAGTACATCCATTCGTGCTACAATCTCCCGGCAGAACGACATTAAAGCGCTCGAGGGGATGTCACGTCCGTGTGCTTGATCTCGCAAGGGCGCGAGAACACGTCGTTGCCCGGACTTTGCACGCTGCTCCCGCAGGTGAAGGAGGTCCGAGCGCGCGGTGGCAAGTGCAAGCTGGCCGTCGTTGTCTTAATCATCACAGCCGCCTCGCGACCACCGCCGCACATGTCCACTCTTGGCAACGGCAACATAGTCGGAATAGTTGGGACTAACCGGTGCGAAATATCCCGATCAAAATAGTGCATTATGTTACATATCCCCAAGTCGACAAGTTCCATTCGTCCACCAGCCAAACGACCGCTTCGACGTCGGAAGCGACGGCCGCACTCCATTCGTGCGGGCCCTCGTGCTGCGCTAACAACTGCGTTCGGGATTTCATATGCATTCCGATGTGTACGTAAGTCGGTTTGTCCATGGTTGCACTTCTGAGATTCGCCAGTGTGTGTACTCATATAAGGACAAAACGCCATCCAACCTTGCAAAGTGGCATGGCAGAGTTGGAAATACCTGCGAGAGCCGGCGTATCTCCAGCATCATAGGGGCAATAATAAAACAGAGAAAAAGATTCGTCCCTTACCATGCGAATGTGCCTTGGAAAGACACGGTACATGCATGCCATGCGCGGCAATGCAGTTGAAATTCCCTTATATCAAACCACGTCCATCTCATCTCTTGTGTGATTCATTAAGTTGGAAAGAGCGCGCGCATTGTCGATTCTTCACAAGCATGGTCCGTCGCGAGGAAGCGAATCCAGCCGCCCATGCGCTTCAGGCACTGTATTCCACATGGACGTCACGTCGCTTGTTCGACGACTCGAACACGACGTCGGTCGTCGTCTTGTGTGTCGTGGGAGGAATCCTCCTGGTCGGTTTGGCATTACACAAGTCTTGGTCGGGTCAAAGTGAACGACGGCATCGACCGCAGGTTGCAATCGTGAGACTCCCGAACCGACAAATGAAGGGCGCAAAAGGTCGAGTGAATGTTGGCGCCAGGAGGATGCATGGCGTGGCACATCATGCTCGCATGACGCAAAAGAGCAACCATTTCGTCGTCGCGTCCACTGGTGTATCTAACGAACAAGAGCCAAATTATCACACACATCACCAGAATGCGTTTCCCAGCAGACGACAAACGCTACCTCCTCCTCCCGTCGACGAGGACATCTATGTGAGCGGATACACCTCTGGACGTGACGTCTTCATTTCTGGCACTACAAACGACACCTTATGGACGAGCAGGAGTAGTGCATACAGCTCGTTCAGTACAAGCGACTCAATGCAGTAGCCATATCGTGTTTAATCCAGTCTGTCAACATGTCATCTTAGGGTTGTTTGGCCTTGGCATCCGCAGCGTCCTTCTTCGACGGCGCCGCCACGGCCGGCGGCGTCTCGTCCTTGGTGTCTTCGGATTCCTTGTACTTGATCTTGTTGTTCACCAAATTGTGCAGGGCAATCGTGCACCGGATCAACGACGACAAGTAAATCACCTGAAAATGGGGCCAGATTTCGTCAAAATTCGAGAATTCATTCGCGAAAACGTGGTGAAAACGCGCCAAATGCAGCAAAACCACACGAAAAACGAGCGGCGTACCAAGTACATGTCGTTGGTTTTGACGAACATGGCGCGGACAAGCTCCTCGACGTTCAAGTTGGGGAGGAGGTTGAAGATCGTCTGGATGTTGTACACGATCTGATGGTTGACCGGCATTTTGCCTTCCTGACAACGACCCTCCGCGTGAGATGCATATACAGAGCATGTATCGTATACCTGGACGTTCTGGAGGTACTGTCGCATTTCATCGACGCGATCTTGCAAACCGTTGAGTGCCGTCATTTTGTGCTTGACCTGTCCCGCCAACGAACTTACAGACGGGTCGTTGATGTCGCGCAGCAAATGCTCCACCCCGACTTCTTCCGCTTCATAAGCGGCAATCGACGACTTGATGTGCTTAAACGTCCGTTTGAAGGCTTTCCCGTCTTCTTCGACCTCTTCGATCGAGCCATACGCGGTGGTCGGGAGACCCTCCACGTTGGGACGGACGTCGCAAATGACAAGCACGGGGTTCGCGCAGTACCGACGGAACAACTCGTCCAAGCTCAAGTCGGACGTGCGGATCTTTGGCCCGGTCGAATAAAACCCGACAATGCGCTCGTTCGCACTGATCTTTTTGAACATGCCGTACATGTTCTCGAGGTAGTCGTGGTCAAGGTACCAGATCGTAGGATGGCGCAAATCCTCATCGTACGGCACCGCAAACGAATTGGTGACATCGCATTTGCCTTTGGACACGCTGCCGAGCAAGACGCCGACGACGCGTTTCGACGTGTCCTTGGCCACGCGGTTGTAGTGATCCACGATGGACAAGAGCACGAGAGGGTGGGTAATCACTTCCGTCGGAAGACCTGGGACGTACACGGCGGACGTCGTCGGTTCATCTGCGGCGGCAGTCATGGCAGATCTTTTCACGCAAAACGTGCGGAAGGGAGAATATTTGGTGCAGAATTCCCGCCATCATACAAACCTCAAGATATTAATTTAACTCTTCCTCTTTGCGATTTCTGGCCGTTAAACTACTTTAACGTCCAAAGTTGACGGCATTTTGATTTGGCACGAAATCAAAGACTTCTGAGGACAAGCAATCTTTCACCTCACAAAGTACGTATGTAACGAAAATTGCCAAGTTAAGCAAAAATTCATGAAGGCGTCACGAGAAAATGGACGTATCTCGGCGACAACACACCGATATTGCAATCACTAAAATGCGTTCTGGAGCTGAAATCTTGCACATACCATACAGCATCAAGCTCTGGAATCATCTTGGCTGTCAAATTGCACGATTTTCAAGCAAAAGCAGATAGTTTGTATGCCAAGTTGAGCATCACCATTTTGTCTTCAAATATGTATAACTGAATTCATACAAATGTAAATGTTGGAGTAACAATTTACAGCAAGTTGTTCATCTCCTTCGTAGTACAATTTATACGGATATTCGATTTTGTGCCATTGTCGACAAATATTTCGGGTCAATTCCAATTTTCAGCGTTGTGGCCAAAGCACCTCATGGCTCACACAACGTACAATTACATGAATCGCGTATGCATTACAGCGTTATTTCAATCTCTTTGTCGACTGCAGCAACAGCATCGTAGGCACTGTTTGGCATTTGATTCACTACAGACTGGCAGACTCTACTGCTTCAGTCTGTCCAATGAGCACGCGGGTTGGCGTGTAGGCGCCAAAGGGGGTCATGAACGAAAATATTCTTGCGAGTCAGGGTGAAACGGCAGCTGCCAGTACCCTTGGTTCAGTCCAAGGTGAAGTAGTCACTCATTCCTTCGAGGCAGACGAAAGCGTTGTCAAAGCTAGGCATGGGCCACAGCATCGGGCCCATGCACGTGTAAATAGGACGACGATCTATCGTCATTCGCAGCGCGCCTGCTTCCTTTTTCGGCACAAAGCGGGGAGCCAAGGCCCACGTGCACCGGTAGTTCTTGTATACCATACCGTTTGCTTCTAGAGACTCTTTATGATCGCGCATGTACTCGACGTGCGTTGGTGGATAATGTTGTTTGCAGAACTTCACCGGCGTCACGTTGACTGGATCCGTACCTTCAAGGGCTCTAACGTCACAGGCGGGGTGTTTCCACGATTTCACTGTACACATCGGCATGGATCCGCAATAACTCGTCTGGCGCTGCATGTCCACGGCGTCGAGCCCACGCCATTAACCTTTCGCTTGCTTTCGCCATTAGCTTTCAGCACACTATCGAGCCTCTCGCGAAGTGCTTCTCGTTATCCCCGACAATCTTCGACCCATTTCATGACTTCAGGTGTGGCACACTATACGCCTTATCTGTCTTCGACGAGGCCATGTCGTCGGCTCAGGCCTTCAGGCAGCGCAGGACAAGCGGCTCGACGCTGTATCAAGAGTTAACCAGCCGAAAATGGCACGTCGCGACATTTTCAGCAGTGCAGCCGTCTCTCTATAGGGGAAGACCAGCTGTGGCTTGTCGTGTTCCACGATGTCTACAGTGACGGCTGCCGCTGTCCATGCTTCCATAACACCGCGCGAAACAACGTTCACATCCACCCCGTGGTGAGCCTGATATTCTCGACTCGGACAGAGCCTTCCCCCAAGGCTAAAACGGATCGTAGCTCGTCGATTAGACTTGGCGGCCAACACGTTGATCTGGCCTTGGCGCTTCTTCACGGGCTCGTCAACTAAATTCTGCCCCTCGTCAGGTGCAGCCTTCGGGCAATCCACAACACGGTGACTCTTGGCACCGCACTTCAAGCATCCGCCGCGTCGCTTTTTCTGCGCCGTTCGCCCTTGTCACCCTAGGCATCAGGTTTCTCTACTGCCTGTGCCTTCGGCGCGTTCCTCGCGCCGCCATAATGGCGGCTGCCTCCATCACATCTTCTACCACGGATGCCTCTATCACCATCCGTTTTCGAAAGCTGCGAAGCAGCTCGCGCTACTTCTGGACCGTCGTGCAGCTGGAAACCTGCGAAAAAATGCCACAGCCAGTTGACAAATCAAAGTACATCTCTCTTTCAAGCCCTCGTTTTGTTGGGCATGCAACTGCTTGTTCTCAGCAATCTTCGACATTTCAGGTCGGATAGAACGCGCCATCGCCTCGACAACTACAGTAACCTCTTGATGGAGCACCCATATTTATTGGTCTTGCACTAGCACACGCATAAAGTCATCCAGCATACGACCAACTCTGGACTCGGCGTCCTAAAGTTTCATGTGAAATCGAATCGCGGTTCCTAGCTGCTTCTTCAATACGTCCAGATCCTGGGGATCTTCTTCGGATGCCGCGTGAAATCACGCGATCCTTTCGGCTTTCTAAACAACATTGTGGTCCTTGTTGAGGGCAAAGATGGCGATC